GTAGACACTTTGATGAGACGGTCAAGATTAGATGAGAGTAAAGCGGCATGAATGTTCTTTATAGCGCTGACTAGAACGGGTGCTGCGTTAGGGAGACTGGTTAGAACCTCAGAGCCAACAGAAATGGCGGTTATAGTCGTTGCAGGGTAATGTGCAATGACATTGCGTTTGACCCAATTGGCTGCGGTTGAATTGGATTGGCCAATGCCAAGAAGCTGGTCATTAGGAATTGAGATAATGACTTTGATTCCACTGTTTGCTAGAGCAATTAGCATCCCGGGGTCAGCGTCATATAGGCGGATATGTCGAATTTGTTGAGCTTTTAGGAGAGCAACAACTTGTGTTGGATGCGGCATGTCAGAAAGATCAGTCCCTATGTTTACTCCGATAAATGCACCTGCAAATCGGAACAATTATTGCATAAAAATTGTGCCTTTGAGAAGTAAAAACAAAGAATTATCTTCTCTTCCCAACAATGTCAAGCAAATCATTGCATCAACATAACATTTAAACCTATCCATGCCTAAAGTTAGTCCAAAGATGTGCACAATACAGAAAGATTTTCACTTTGTTTTTTTTTGTACATCAAATCCTTAAACCCTGAACCACAAACTACATTCCCGAACAAAACCTGTGACTTTCCATTATAAGTAACATCTTATAATCTAAACTAAAACAAGTGTTTTCTAGTCAAAACAGTAGAAGTTGGATAATTGTTCTGTAATAATAAATTTGGGAGGGGCATTAAAAAACGCTATTCTTGTTTCTTAGTGAGCATTTAAAAACAAGCCCACCTGCCAAAGCATATACAGACATTTAATATCATAACCTACCACTATCTCAAGCACACTCAATGAATCCTACAGATAGTTAAAGCCAAAATAATGCATACAAAACGAACTAGAAATCAAGAATAGTCTTTGCAAGTGTTCTAAAATCATTTTAATTTATTATATTAAGATTTAAGCTACATTTCATCAATCACTGCCAGTGTTAAATATACCTCAAAAATGGAACATTCGTGCTCTTCTAGAACATTATGAACACATGCAAAGGTATAAGCTATGAGATTTCTAACTTTGAAATTTGGGACTAGTGATTGAATCTGGAAACAAAAACTCAAGAGCAAAACATGTACTCACCTTCATCAGCTGG